AAGTAAAAAGTAAAAAAATAAAAAAATAAAAAAAAAAAAAAATCTCAATATTAACAAAACCCGTCGCTTGACTCAGAAACCACGGCTTATTTATCCGTGGGGAAAAAATGTTGATGCGCCAAACAAATGCAGATATTTGACATGAACATGTAGCAGAGGATGATGACCGTACAATAATGCATGGAAAAATGTAAAGGGTGACGTGAACAGAAGAGCAAATCAACCGGCTATGAATGAAACGGTAACGATGGCCCGTAACTCCTTCTCCGATGTTGTAGTTTAGTGTCTAAAGCACTGTTGTAAGCTGGTTTTGTTTCGATGTATCAGGGAACTCTGTGTATTTATGAAATATAGTGCGTGGCCAGGATAAAACATGAGCGGCATAAACCAAAGGATAAAAAAAAAATTAACTGTCGAAAACCCGATGTTTGTAGCTTGTGGTGTGGTTCGGAATGTATCATGGTAAGAATTCTAGTAGTTGTGTATTTGGTCTTGCTCTCCGAATGGTGTTCATGGGGAGCGATGGTGAATGCCTAGGCCGGTCCAGTCTGGCACCTGGGGCGTACTGCCGCTTCTTATCCGGGTTCTTGCTCCTCCCTGACGAAGTTGTTCCGCCGCTCGTTGTTGCGGCGGAGTAGCGAAGCCCTGCCGCATCATGTCAGCGAGCTGCTGCGGATCGCTAGCCGTTGGCATGAAGTTGTGGTCAGGATAAGGTGCAGCCCGTGGTTGTGCTTGCGCCTGTGCCTGTGCCTGTGCCTGTGCCTGTGCCTGTGCCTGTGCCTCTACTTGTGCCTGTACTTGCGCCTGGCGTATCAGTTGCTCTCCTCTCAGCGCTCTTTCGGCTCGCTGCCTGGCTGCCTCGACGTTGACGGGTTCAAATTCGCCGAAGCGGATGTGGGGTGGTGTATATTGCACAGGATTGAATTCAACTACACCGCTAATGCCGTCGCCTCTATCAACCATAAAGCCTGGCCCCGTAGTAACATTTGATAATGGTAAAAACTGGCTTTCGTCTAATGTTGGCGTTGTGGTGGCTGAATCGATTGCACATTCACTAGCTGGGTATCTAATTCGGGTGTCTATTCTGGGAACGACTGCAGTCCTGTTAGAATGGGAGAAGGAGGCTGCGCGAGGCGCCGATGCAGACGGCGGGCTAGGTGTGAATCTGCCAGGATCTGCTTGAAGTGATTGGTGTGATAGTCCAGAGTGTTCCCGAGACATCGGCTGAGATGAGTAGCCATGGGGAAGACTGTTTCTGGAACCGACGGCTCGCAGTGGCGGTGGTGTAAATGCTGAGGGTCGTCGTGGTGGCATTTGAGTGATTTCGATGTTCGGCTCATATGGTATCGGCAAGGGATTTGGTCCCATATAGGGAGGACCAACATTGGAGTCGCTGAAATGCTGCTGGTTTGATATTGGAGGCCGCTGAGAATCCTGTTCAATCCCGAAGGGAGAGTTCGGGGTCGTTGGTGAGCCTCGGTCAGATGCAGAGATACGACGAGGGTATGGCAGGCCAGGGTCACTGTGAGTTGACAGAGAAAGGTTCATCTCGGCACCTCCCATCAGGGAAGCTGATAGGCGTTTTATCTCCTCTACATCTGGTAACGGAGGGCTATCCGTGTGCATTGGACGCTGCGTTAGATTTGAACGCTGCTGCCGCGATGGTGGCTTCGTTCCGGCATGCGTCGCACCCCCAACAACGGCAGCATAGGAAGGTCCGTGGTTGCTCTTGTTGCTGGATCCGGGCTTGGTTGGCACCGGTCCAGTGCTTGTACCACTGTTCTTTGAGGATGAAGCTGAGCTATGTTGCTGTGCCAATGGGGCCACCGGTTTACCCGCAGATCCAGCATCAGAAGGCTTCCTTTGGCTGGGGCTGCCCTGGACCAGGATGGAACTGTTCCGTCGAGAGCCGTCTGAAACAGAGACAGTAGGAGTAGCTGGTCTAGATTCCCCAAGGTTCTTCCGCTGCTCTCTCAACCGTCTCAGGGGCTCCTTGAAAGCTGACAGGAAACTGCCTCGCTTCTTCCCAGGAGTGCTGGGCCGCTCTTCCTGGGGGAACTTTCGGCGTTGGGACTTCAGTGCTATTGGACAGAGATGGGGACATGTCGGGGGCAGTAGCCTCGTTCTCGTTGCCGCCATTTTGAGCCGCATTCTCGGTACCGACATTGGTGTTTCCATGGAGAACCGAGTGGGGTTGAACGCTACCCTGCGGAGAGACTATCTCCTGTGGAGAGTCAGTGCATTCAGCTCCCACGTCCCGTTCCCAAGTGGACCTGGTAGATGTGCTGGCTATAGAGTCAGAGAACGACGACATGCTGTTTGTATGATCGAATATTGATCTCTGGTGGCGGAACCATTCCTGGGATGAGCCAGGTGACCGGTGTCTGATCTCCTCTTCGATGTCAAGCAGCATCTTTTTCAAGCATTCGTGGTGAAGTTCCAGATTGACCTCTGATTTGTCTAGCCTAGCCCGGTAATGGCGCATGAGACGTTTTGCATGAGTCTGATACTCACGGTAGTCCCTGACAAGGCCTGCATTCTTGATTGCTCTGATCTGAGTGGTAGCATTCTTGTAAGAGAGACAGAATAGGCTTGTAGCAATGCCCAACCAGTACCAGAAATGCTTTGCACCTTCGACAATAAGTTCATCGCGGCAGAAGCCCTGGACGACTGAATGAATCTTAAGCACATCGATTTCTGTTCGTGGTCGGCCCATTATCGCATCCTGACTGGAGGCGCTTTGCGAGTGTGTTGTAGAACGGCGTTCGATACCCCTTCTGTCGACTTCACTAGTAGGCGTAGCGGAGACTTCGCTGTAAGCATCAAAGGAGCGCTCAATCAGGCCGTACTTGATGAGGATGGCAAACGTGTTATCGATGTGCCTCTCGGTACTACCATATCTTTCCAGGGTCCGGATTTCAACTTTGTACTCTGCTAAAGCCTTGCGGCCGAGATGGATCATGCCAACAGGCACGTTGTGTCCGAAGAAGGATAGGATATAGATTAGCTGCAAGGCTTCGGTGTACTGGTTGGAATTGAGATCTGTCATTATCTCCCTGTATGGCTCGGCCAGGCGGCTGTCAGTCAAGTGAGAGCCGGGTTGGTAGGTTTCTAGTGGTTTCCCACTGGCGTTAAGACGATGACCGAGGGCATGAATGGCGAGTGGCAGACACTCGTAGTACCTGACCAGCTCCCTGGCCTTCTGGGTCTGCCTCGTGTTTGGTTTTGAGATTCCCAGCTCAGTGAAGAGTAGCTGGCATGCGGCCTCTACGGCGAGAGGCTGGACAGCAAGGCCATATGGTTCAAAAAGGCGCTGTTTCTGACGAAGAGTGCGGTCGACGGACGTGTAGATGATGCTAGTATTCGGCTTGAAGGGGAGGAAGTTTTTGAATTCGTTTAGGTCATCTTCGTCCTCAAAGGCGAGGCCGTCGAAGATGAGCAGCCAGTTGTCTCTGCTTTCTAGCCACCGTTTGACATTTGCGGTGTATTTATGGGCCATCAGCCATCTTGGGTCTCGGTCTTCGCGGTCTTCCAAGAGGATGGAGGCAGCAACGGCGATTTCCCATATTCCGTTGAGACGAGACTCCTTGGACTTGCCATCGATCCAGAAAATGCCGCCGGGGTATAATTTATCATGGTCGTACATGTACTGTCTGGCTAGATGGGACTTTCCAGAGCCTGGGCTTCCATGGATAAGAACAGTGGCAGGCCCCAGGACCCGCTTCCTTTCATCCGATAGTACTCTCCGCAACCGATCCATCTCTTCTTGCATCCCAAAAAACACAGAATTGGGATGAAAGCCGGGCGGACTTACAGTCACCAGGGAATCATCATTATTGCCTAGCAACAGGGGCCGGTTGACATGGCGGAGAGCTTCAGGGTTGGTGAATATGGGGTCATGCGGCCCCGGTAGAGAGATGCGAGAGAGGTCTATTATTATGATTGCACACACAATGTCAGCATAAACTGGTGCATGTATATAAAGTTTGTCACTAGAAAAGGGCAGCAAGACAGCTTACCTAGAGGGTCCTGTGTATCTGCGGAAAGGTCAAAGGCACTGCCAGCGTTGAGTTGCTGAACCTGGAGCCCGGCCTGCATGGCGAGGAGGTACTCCTGCTTCGCTTGCTGCCAACGAGCAACGATGGTAGGGCCGGCAGTAGATGAGTACCGCCGTATGGCCTCTGTGACGGTGTCGTAGCCCGGGGAGTTCTTGTCAGCAAAGCGGCACATGGCACCATGGTCAGCCTCGATGCCCATACGCTCGACGCCGTCCCAGACGGGTGCGGCGGAGGACTCCTCGACGATGAAGGCTCGGGTGCTGCCTATGTCCATGGGCTTGGACTCGTGGAAGAAGTAGATGTGGAAGCGGTCCATGATCTGGACGAAGTCGCGGTTGATGACCTGGAGGTGCTCGTTGTCGCTCTGCAGGACCTGGACGAGCTGGGGAGAGGTGGAGAGCAGCCGTTTTGGTATGACGGTGTTGATGAAGGACTGCGCCGTGCTGGCGACTTTGGCAATGCTGGATCCGTTGTGCGGCGTCCCCAGGAAGATGATGCCGAACGTTGATACGAAGATGGACCGCAGATGCTGGGTATGCTGGTGGCTGATTCTGGTGTAGCAGCAGAGAGCCTTCTTCACCACCAGGCCGCCCAGGGAGTGGCAGACGAAGACGATGGGCCGTTCGGTCGATTCGGTGCCCTGTCAATACCATGTTAGCCTTGGAGTCTGTATATAAATATAAGTAGGGTAGTTGTTGCATAGCAGGCCCAGCACATACACTCCGCAGCGCACACAGGCTGGTGATGAGATGCTCCGCATGGTTGTGCAGCTTGTCCTTCGACGTCCCTCCACTGAAGGAAGCGACATTTGCATCGTAGCCGTAGGTGAGGATCCTGACCTCGAGGCCGCGCAGGGCGCCTGGCAGCAGGTCGGAGGGCCAGAAGACTTCGGGGGGCTTTTTGGTGGCCCAGGTATGGTACGCCGAGCCGTTGAGGCCGTGGACAAAGACGATACTGACCCGTCAGCAGGGTGAATACGCAGACGACAGACAGAGACAGAGACGGAGACAGAGACAGGGACTTACTCGACGGCCGGGCTGGATGTCTGGTAGAGCTGTGTGAGGCCGAACTGCTTGACCTCGACGCCGCGCTTGGTGACTGCGGTCGTCATTCTGCGGCGGACGGCAAGCTGTTCTCTAGAGACGAGACGTCAAGCCCATGAGCGAGATCAGAAGAAGCAGAAGAAGAAGAAGAAGAAGAAGCAGAACCAGAAGCAGAAGTAGAAGAAGTAGAAGAAGTAGAAGTAGAGGAAGAAGAGATATCGAGGCCAGGGGTGTGATGTATTATATTAATATGCCATATGATAGCCGGCGGCGCCCTTGCAGCAGCCTGACACACCCACCGCGCCGTCGATGATCGGTGATGCAACCGCAGTCTTGTGAGCACGCAGCAGAAGAGAAACAGAGGCAGAGACAGCGCCAGCAGGCAGAGACAGAGAGGCAGAGGAGGCACCCAGGGCGCAGGAGGGAGGGCTCAGCGGTTCTGCGAGCCCTGGAGGGTCAGCTGCGAGTTGCGCTCCGTAACTGACATCACCGTCCTGCAGACCTTCTTCTCCAGCAACTATGCAAGTTAGTTATCAACTGGCCAGTTAGCTAACTAATGACGGCGCTTTTATACCGATAGGACAATGGGCCACCGTTCTCTCGACGCTCTTCCGGCGTCTTCTCGCGCTGCCGCCGGCCTGCAAGGGGGCGGGGGATTTCCAGCCTCGTTCCTCCTTGGTCGTTTGCGCATCCCCGGCTCGCGATTGGGGACTCGACCAGGCAGACCAAAATAACTAGTGCTCCCGGGCGCGATTGGCGGGCGTTTGGCCAGCCTTGGATGCTCGCGGACGGGCAGGCTGGAGGCTCGTCTTTGCAATGCGGGTTGGCTGGTGGACTCTGCAGCCCTATGCTGCCCATGCCGTGTGCCTGGCCCTCCCTCCCTCCCCCGGCAGCGGCCAGGGGAAGCCTTCCTGGTGGCCGGCGGAGACCTCTTTGGGCTCCCAGGCGAGCGGTGCGGCTGGGGTGATGGAGGGCATGGCCTCGATCGAGTCAACGGATTACTCGCTATCTATCTGTTGCGTATAACTACGGCATTGTTTGCCTGGCGTTGCTTTTGACTGCCCCCATGGGTCGATCCGCCTCCCCGAACCACGAGCCAGACATGAGAGTGGACGATGGGACTTGACTCTTTCCAGTCTCCGAGAAACAATTCGACGCTGTTGGCGCTCGCATTCTCCCGGCATACGGAGTGCAGATGCAGATGCGGTTTCGACGGGGAGGGAGGGAACAGAACCGCCTGCATCACACAGGAGTCTACGGACCACCCAGTATGGACAGCAAGGCCGTCTGTGAAACATGGGCGGCTGTATCATGCAGTGCCGGCGTCAGCTCGTGATCTTGGTGGGTGCGGAGAGGGCAGAGATCTCAATATCAACGACGGCTCAGGTCATGTCTCGTATAGAAATGCTGCCTCTATGCACTTCCCCAACTACGGCGTCGAGGTCGAGTGGACAGCAACCATCGAGGGTATTGTCTCATGCTCGATGCCATCATACGAACAAGGCCGCCTTGTCAAAGCAAACTCGACGGCCTACCAGTCAGCTAGTCAACTAGTTTTAACTACGCGAGTCAGAGGGCTGAGCAGGATGCCCTCGACGGATATAGACCATGCACTCGAATCAATCGACCGAGGGCAGGGACAGCTAGTTTCGAGCAAACATCGGGAAGCCCCAAGTCGGTTTTTATCAGAATACGAAGAGTCGCTAAAGGGAGGCTCAGGAAACGTTGGTGCCTGCATGTCCAACCAAGGCTGGTGCTTTTGATACACGCTGCCGTCTATTTGACTGATGGTAGTAGCACACATATTCAAACGCCTGCCTTCTCCTTTGCCGAAGACAACTGCCTTGCATCCATCGAAAGCCCACTGCGAATCACCCGTAGCCTGCACATTCTGCCTCCCATGTGCCTGATGTTCACTTCTAATATACATCACATGGCCCATCCGGCCCCAGATGGTGATGGAATCCGACCCAGCCCATCCGTGACAAGAGGTACATACATCCTACAGTTACATAACTAACTAGCGCAAGTAGCAATGTAGCATGTAGCATGTAGGCAGCCCTCGCTGTACAAAGATTCATAAGCAGTCGTCGTAATTCAGCCGTCACCATCGTCATCGTCATCGTCAGGTCAGGTCAGCGGTGCATAGCCAGTCAAACTTTTTTTTTTTTTTTTTTTAAATTTCGAATCACCGTCCCTTAAACGAAGGCTTCCGCTTCTCGGCAAACGCCTTCAGAGCCTCAAACCGATCTTCTGTCTCCACGACACCAAGATACGCCTCGTTCTCTGCCTCTGCGCCTCTTTCGAACCCGTCAACCGCCTTCAGAGCCTGGCCAAGCGCAATCGGTCCGCCTTCACAAATCTCCTGCGCCAGCCTGATGCTTTCGCGTAGAACCTTCTCCCGTGCTTCTCCCGGCTTCCCTGCCTCCTCGGGCGTCACCTCCACCAGCCTGTTGCAGAGGCCGAGGAAGTAGGCTTCAGGACCGCTGACCCGCCGTCCCGTCAGGATCATGTCCAGCGCGCGGTTCTTCCCGATAAGCCGTGGCAGCCTATACGTGCCTCCTGCGCCGGGAATGATGGCAAGGCGAGTCTCGGGCAGTCCCACAACACTGGTGCTTCCAAAGACTCGCAGCTTGGTGCACAGTGCCAGCTCCAGTCCGCCTCCCAGCGCCATTGAAGAGATGGCTGAGATGGTTGGGATCGGAAGCTCGTCCAGGTTGGCGAACGTCTGCCGCAGCTGAGCCAGAAACGCCTCGGTACTATCCCGTCGTCAAGTCAGCGGCTCTAGTTCTCGGAAGATTAAGTGGTATTATAGAGTAAATCATAGAGTAAACGAAGCTATAACTCACTCTTGCTTGGTGAAGGTGGCTCGCTCTTTCAGGTCTGCTCCGGCGCAGAACGAGGCATCGACGTTGCTCGCCACGACCAGCGCTCTCGTCGGCCCCTTGCCCTGCTCCGCCTTGATGTCGTCCAGGTGCTTGCCCAGGCTGTTCAGCAGCTGCCGGGAGATCGCATTGCGCGCCTTGGGCCGGTTCAGCAGCAGGACTCTGATATGGCCGGCGCCTGGGGCTGGAATCTGCTGCACATTGATCACTTCGCCGCTCGCGCTGGTGCCGAGCGTAGCATTTCGGCGGATCTGGACGACGGGGAACTGGCGGAGGCTGGTCGGCCGGAACACTCGAGCAGCAGCCATTGTGTGTTGACGCTACAGTCGGCAAATGGATGGCAAATGCTACTGGAGAGAGAGAGAGAGAGAGGCTGATGCGGGTGTTGATGGAGTGACGTTGGTGTTGTATTCTTCGGGTGTTTGTATTTATGTTCAATTTTAATTTTTATTTTTTTATTACTTTCGGCCGCTTGGCCCGACGCCGAAGACTAGTTAAGTGTTATTCGAAGTGTTATCGGTATTATTTGCCTGGGTTTGGCATGGATGTTGATAACTAATACTGCATTGATATTGATACGTGAATGAAGTCTACTCTTCGTCGTGGTGGTAGTTATACAGCATCTCGTGCTGGATATAAGCATCAACCTCTTCATCCGACGGCCACGGAGCCATGGCCTCAGTCCCGTTCACGAGGCGGCGAGCCTCCTGGGTGAGAGGGTGAGTTTGCCAACAGACTTGCGGACGGCCGTCTCTGTCATCATCTCTCGAGCCCGCCAGGTCGTTTTCAAGAAAAGCCCTGCAGGCAACCACCGCCCGGCGAAGCATCCTGCGACCCCCACGTCGCTCGTTGGTCACCCGCTTGAGCTCATGAGCTTCCGCCTGGAGAACACGGAGAATAGCCACGATGGTTTGTCGGTCTCTGCCACGCCCGAATACCCGGATAAGCGAGTGGAGAATGGAGGGAGATGGCATTACCACTCCGTTCGAGGGCGTGGCATCGTCAACTGACGAGGCGCTGGTAGGTTGCTGTCTCCGGTACAGTGGGAGATATCGGTTAATTTGGCATCTTAGCAGTGAGAGGCCATGCTCTGCCATTTCATCAGGAGTTTGTGTTGTCAAAGGCCGGTCCAGCGTTGCATGGGAGGGCCCTAAAGATTGGATATGAGACATTGCTCTTGCCCCTGCCTTGACGGCATTGGGGTGGAGATGGAGGGTTTGCAGCAGACCTGCGAATCCATTACACATGAGCTGGATACACCTTAGGTCTAGCGCTATGGAGTTGGCCTTCATGTATTCAGCCAGTCTTAGTGTCTCTTCCCAAACAAAGACTCGGTTCACTCCTGGAGCGAGTCCGAGCCTGTGAAAATGGTGAAACGGTCGACTGCCGATAGCCACAGCCTTGAGAAGGTTATGCCAGGCAGACATGTATCGGGGTCTCCGTTGCTCCATGAGAAAAACAGCGTGAGCAAGGGCACGGCCTTGGTTGGGTTCCAAGTCCGAATATCGTGGCAAGATAATCGGGAACATGGCATTCAGAGCTTCTATCCGGTCTACAATCCGATTCACGGTACTGTGTGAAGCACACCTGCATAGGAACCGGATGACAGCAGAAAAGGTGGCATCATGGATGGAGCTCAGCGCCTCCAGCCTTTCTTTGCCTTGCTGGGAGGAAGGGCTAAACAATGCATAAATCTGGCCCTTACTAAGGCTACTGTGATTGATATAATCCAGTCCCTGCTTTAAGGAGGAAGTATGTCGAAGGATCAAGACAAGCACTTTATCTGGTAGCGGAAAATCCTGTGAAAACGTCTGTTGTAAAAACTCAGGTAGACTCGGTGGCTCGGAAGGTACATATATGAGATCGCGCGGCGACGTTGGCTCGGGATGCACCTCTTTACCGCCATCAGATGGAGTAAAGGTAGAAGCTTGAGATCCAAACTGCTCCAGTCGATTGATTTGCCCGCGGGTTCTCTCGGACGCGATGAGTTTTTCCACGATTTCATGGATGATCTGTTCGGTGAGACGGACATTCTGCTGCTGAGAAGAGACGTAGCATGCCCATGCTTCTCGGAGAGTTCTAGTTGCACGAATACGGGCAGCCCAGACAAGTGGTTCTGAGGGAGATTGGTTCTCTTCTGAAAACTGCCAGCTGGGATCTGGAAGCCTGGTTCTCTTTTGAAT